GCCTTGCGAATGTTTCACAAGAATGCTGGGTTGTGAACAAAACTTTCGCCCCAGGCGGGACTAGAACCCGCGTAACTGGTAGCGCACTTGCCCGGAAAGCGAGAGGTGCGGGTTCTAGTCCCGCCTGGGGCGAAAGTTTTGTTCACAACCCAGCATTCTTGTGAAATATAACAGCAGTAATGTAATGTAGACATAAATTCAGGTTCGAAATTCTTCGAAAGGTGTATTTCAGGGTCAGCTAAACACTTTTCTTCTGAAATAAGGCAAACCAGTCAAGCGCGGAGATTGCACCTTTAGGGCTTATGACGTTAGTCTAGGAACGCTCATAAGGTCCTGATCCCTAGAACAGATGATGACGGTTGTCGTGTTGTCTGCGTTTAGCTCGTCTTTTTGCTCCCTCGTTTCATCACATGACCCTCGATACGAGTCCGGCGCCAGTCTCAATTCGCTGTAAGCCTATGAAATGTCTGACTATAACTGCTTAAAAGAGAGTACTGCTTTGGATATTGCTTATGGTGTTCTTTCTTTCTCCCTAGCGGAAGTCTTAAGCACCTACGGCTACGCAGTGGAACCCAACTGCTTGCCCTTCTGATAAGCAATGTGCCTGAACGTTTTGCATGGATGTGGCGAAGAACAACCTCTTGAAGTCATCCAAGAGGCGACACTGTTACTTAATAAAAAGGGAGTGTACGACTCCTTACAGTTCAAGTTTATTCTTTTTAGTCACTCATGGTCAACTTTTGAAAGCACATTTCTTCTAATTATTCCCTGATTCAAAACTAACCGATTTGCATTAGCAGCCTGGAGGAAGCGATCTCCTTCCTTGAACAGGAAATGATCAGCGATTAGTTTTTTCTTCGTCTCTTCGTCCATTCCAGTGAGCGGGTAGTATGTTCCCTTGAAAAATAGTTTTTCTTCGTCTCCGATACCCACATGCGCTCGATCATTTCTCAAAAAGGGATCGCAAAGTATTAACAGTCACCCCAAACACAGGAGTTGCATAATGAGAACCTTCCAAACTCATCCATTGCGAGAATGTGTAAATGATAACTTTTCCCTTTTCTACTGCATATTCAATCTTTTTGGCCTTTTCTAGCTATGGCGATAACCTTTCTCTTTCTACTGCATACTATTCATTTGATCATTTTATCCTACTCTCCAAATTCAGACGTTTTAATCCGACTCTTTCAATGCGTCGCCCGAAACGTCGCCGTCCCAAGGGCGCTTACTACCACGCGCTCCCTCGCCTCCGTCTTACCTACTCGCGTTAGCCCCCAGAGTGGTACTCGAAAGTTTGCTGCTCTTCACAAACTAAATATCTTGGGTGGAAATTTTGCGTTGTGTATGCACAACTGATGTGATCAAGTGGAAATGAATGCAAGAATTTTCCGTGCCCGATTTCTTCGAGTAGTATCTGCGGTGATTACACGCGCAGAATGAGTTTCCAATTTTCATGCAAGTGGGTGGGATATGCAAAGCAATGGGCATGATATTTGTTTGTGCACAAAGAGTATAGATATAAGCATTACAGAAAAGGAAAGCAAGAGCCGGAGCGTGTGTTATTTTTTCCTATAGGCTCCATATGCGACAAACAAAAGGCAAAAGCCACGTCAGCTTCACTGTACAAACCCTCCCGCGAATAGCTGACGGGTGGGGGGGTACATCGTTATGCGGAGAGCGAACACACTCAGCATTCCTCTCGCGGTTTTCAGAAGCTCAAGGGAGAACCATGGGAGGAGCAGCTAGGCAATTCTCATTTTTCTCGCCCATTCTCCTCTTAAAGGCAAAGTTCGGGCTCAGACCCTTTCACAAGCCTTACCATGGCTAGAAGTGCTGGGCACGCAAGTGCAAAGGTAGCGCCACCCTACATCGAAACGCGTCACTAGGACCCTAGGCGCCATGGACTTCTAACAGACTCCACCAAACATAACATGGTCCGCCCACCGTTCGATATCTTGTCTGCGTCGCTAACTTGATCTGCTATGCTCTCTCTTCTCGGACTTCTCTACCGCTCTCCGCGCTCACATTATCTCTCATCTCCCTGCCTGCCTTTTGAACTTCTCCGCAGCGTAGAGCAAAAGGCTCGTATTCCTGTGCATTTCACGATTTTTTTCCTTTTTCCTCCACTGGTAGTCCAACTCCCATCTCTATTTTCATATTTGAGTGGAATTACCACATCAATTCACCCCTAATTCTTGCCTTTAAGCTCAGTGCATAGCGAGCCCCCTGGCCCCTTGAGTACTTTGAATAGTGTGCTTTTGTCATTTCTTTGTGGTTTTATACATATACACTGCGTTTCATAATTATAGGTCCACCCTAAATTTTTGCTACCCCAAAGTTGCTGTGCATTTTTTGGAAATGCTGCTATCACCGTTAGATTCCTCATCACGGAAAACCTTCATAGTGTTTTTCTGACAAAGTTCCCCCCTCAAGTAACCCAATTAACTTTTTTAGAACGAATTTTCACCGTTTCATGAATATCGGGCCACTCATAAAAAGTTTCCATTTCTCACGATCCGTGAAGGGAATCAGGGAAGCGGGGAAATATGTGGGCTCAGTCGACATCGAGTTTACCATACCTCGTGTTATTCGCCTCTCTTCCCAGTAACAAGCTCAAGCTAGAGCACTTACTGAAGTGGGATAGCTGAGGAGCAGAATTTCCTCCCATGTCGGCCGGCTCATACTGCATAAGCGACTATGTGCAAAATCCTGGTCAGTGCGGAGAGAAGAGTCGCTTAGGTAAATAAAGACTGCGTTTCCTTCAAAATTTAGGAGGAATTGGGTGTCTTCTCTCGAATTATACAAGGAGTCCGAACAAAGTCCGTACTGAAATGCGGCCTTCCGTGAGCAAACCACCGTGTGGTGAGTAAGCCAGCAGAGCAATAACATCTTCAACGGATTGATGAAGAGCGTTCCAAGATTATTTGAGCGCTACAAGATCGCAAGTCTCCATTTCTCCGTGGAAAAGGCTCAACTTAATGAGCGATGGTGTGGCTGTTAAGACCCTTCGCGATCTTGGACTCTACCTCCTTGTTTCGTTCTACAGGTGGTCTGAGATCGACGTGGAAAAGTTTATTCTAGGTGGATATGGCAGAAAAAGAGGGTACAGGATGATCGCGTGAAAATCGCAGATGGTTTCAATGTAACGTAATTTCGGCGGTGAATCCCTTATGGTTTGAGGCACCTTTGAACGACTGAGTAGCTAGAGCTCGCTTTTGTTTCCGTTCACAAAGATTCCACAGGGTATCGTGAAGTTCTTTCGAAGCGAGTCTTACCATTTTTTCAACAAGGATCCCCTCTATCCTTGATTTTCACACACGATAACGCGGCTGTCCATGCCGGTCCCTCCGCGCCAGATGGAATTGCAGGAAAAAATGTGGCAGTTATCTGGTGGCCACCATGTTATCTGAATTAGATTCCAATAGAGAATCATTGGGCCTTAATTGTTATAAAGTTCCACAGCAAAGTAAAGCAAAATGGAACAGCCGAAAAGCTGAAAAGGTCGATCATCGGCGCCCAGACGAATTTCGATCCTACTGTAATAGCTAATTTGGCTACCAGCATTTCAAAACGTATTATTGTGTTCCTTATGATTATTGGGGGGTCATCCCATTATTGAAAATTCGTGACGTTTTTTCGTTATAGTAAAATCTCTCGACAAGTGATGTGTAGTCATATTTGCGAAACGGTGAAAATACGTTCTAAGGAAGATATTTTAATAATTCTGAATCGAGATTTCTCCAGAAATCAAGTATCAAGGTTTTTCGTTATGGGGAAACTATTGGTAATAGCGGCATTTTCCAAAAATGCACAGCAACTTTGGAATAGCAAAAAATTAGGGTGGACCTATATTTATGAAACGCCAGGGATCATAATTAGCGCACTTACGAAGCTCTAAAGCAGCGCTGTCATCCCTCGCTATTAGCACAAAAAAAACGAGACGTTGGTGGCACCCTTTTAACGAGGAAGGTGACTATGAGGCAGAAAGTGATACAGGCTGCAGGTGAAAATGTAGTTTGGGGGGGCCTCATAATATCTAAAATCGAACTGGCAATATCTAATCGAAGTGGAGCTGCGGTAGGGCGGTCATATCTAATCACCATCCAGAGCACAGTCTCTGAGTGTATGATTAGATAGGGATACCAATCCGTGGTTCCATACAAAATCGGATACCTGGGAGGCCCTTTCTTCGAGGGCTTGCATGGCAGTCGCAAGAAGGTTTGATGAAAGTAAGGAGCCAGCAGGGTAGCAGCCATTTTAGCCCTAGACCATATGACAAGGTAAGCGTACTAGTCCAGTGGTCACGGTCTTAGTGAAAGATATGATAAGATATAAGTGCCTTCCCGCAACTCTACTTTGATTAGATATGAGTGTCTTTCGCAGCTTCACTTCGATTAGATAATAGGTCCCCGAACTAACTTTTCACGACAGCGCTGGCAACTAAAAAACTCCGATTTTCGTAGTAAGAGAGGAATGTGTCACGTTGTGTGTGTATGTTGTGTGTTATGTCACCTTTAGCTCATCGTCCTTGATCGTTGAGAAAATATCTTGCATCCTCTTCTCCATGTTTTTGTAGTTGATCTGCAGAAATCAATAGCTTGTTAGTGAGAAGCACTTGCAGAAGAAGTGAAGGGAATGAAGAGGACGGGTTTACCTCGGTCAAACACGGATTAAACGGATATCCTGCGAGGGATCGTCCACATCTGATTCGTGTAGATACAATAAATTTGCCCTCTGGATCGAGATTTGGAAGCTCTCCTAACTGAAAAGACAACATCTGCCGTCCACCTAAATCTATCACAGAACTGCGTTGTCATTCACCAAGCTGACAGCTAACATTAGCTTTTGCATTTGCAGCAAAAGTAGTCTCTGGGTTCTGGCTGCTGTCACTGCAGGACAACGATCTCCAAAGTAACCGATCTCATATCGATTAGCGTGGTCTACTAGACACAGCGCTCACTTGCCCTTAGGGTGCGGGAGAACACTGCATAAACAGGGCATAACACCGCTTTGTAGGTTGATCTAGGCCAAGGTAATCAAGGAAGAGGTCATTAAGGACAACCCAGCCACAATGAACGGTTGGGTGGCCATTTCTGAACGCTCCATGAAACGCTGAGCTTAAATCTGTTTTTCATTATTTGTTGAACTTTTCTTCGAAAGGAGTTACAGAGGGGATACGAATATCCCTACTATGCCACTGAAAGTGGCAAAAAGTAAGCGTAAGCAAATCGCCTAATCGCCTACTCGCATGTACGATCGCAAGTTCCAAACGCTCCATTAGTCCACCCCATCTGATTATCTACTCATTCACAATTGTCATTTCACGAATATCGGGCCAACCACGAGGATAAAACGCGGCACGAAGTTGTCTCTAGCACATGGTAAATGTCATTCCCCAAAAAATTGCACCTCCGAACCAACCTTGAAAAACGTCGCTACACATCATGTTTCTGACTTGGTTTCATATCTAGTGTGTGAATTTGAAACCCTTTCCCCCTTTACTGGCCGTTCTAGTTTGGGAAAGGAACGATTTCCAGGCCTTTGGTGGGTGCAGCTAGTATCACTCACGTTCTTTTCTCCTAGATCCATTGGCGGTTGTGTGTCAGTGGCCTTGAAACCGTTGTGGTATTCCTCAATAACGGGATTGAATAGGTCTGCGAATAACGTGTAAGCCTCGGCATCAGGGGCGTATAGTCCGACTCCGGAATCGAGATTCTCGACACCGGACTGAATCACATCCAGCAGTGTAGCTCCCAAACGAGTTTTCTTTCTCTGGAATAGGAATACATACAGAACTTTGCTTTATGTTCTCATTAGCTTTCCATCTCACCTTCAGTTTGTCGACAACAACTTTTGTGAGATGCTTTTTAAGAAGAGATTTACAATCTTGAGCTCCTTGAAGTTTTGCGTAACCTTCTTCAATCTTCTTAAACGACGTATCCGGTGGAGCTGTCATTGTCGGAAAATGAGAATTGCTAACCCATTCCCCACTTTTATACGCTTTTTTTTCTTATCGCCACCATTTGTCTAAACAGGATCCTTCTACAGCTCACCTGTCGAGCGAGCGCGTGCACAAATTCTATCTATCAAATGCTCGTGATATTCGATGCGAAATACAAATTAAAATTTGACAAGAGGATACATTAAAGTGCAATAGTCTAAATGTTTAATATAAAATACAAAGAGGGCACCAAAAATTTATTTTATCGCGCAGAACGAGTAAGATCATTTTGGTGCCCTTTGTGTTTTATAACATTTAGTGTGTCCTGATTGAGGCTCCGGGACAGGCGACAAAGAGAATCTGGGCGGAGGAACACTGAGCATTCTTTGCTCTGACTAGGTTTCTTCGCCTTCGTCCTGGGCTAGCGTGTAGTTCTAGACGCCACATCTGCCATGTAGAAATCCTGTTGTTTGAATGTTGCCATAAAGCGGCGAGCGCCTAGATTGGTTTTCTTGTTCGCTGTCAGTGTTTTGTTGAACATGGAAAACGAGTGATTCAAGTAATCATTAATCACAATCAATGATGAAGTTAAGGTCTTCTGTGCAGATGTTCTGTATGATGAGCGCTTCTGGAGGAATGTATTCCATTGAACACTGCTGATGCGCGCGTCATACGGGGCCTAGGCGGTATGTGATTGTCCCATAATTAATGAATCACTTTGGGTATTTTTTAATTCAGATTTTTCTTTTCTATTTAAAGTCCTTACTCATTCCAATCACTCAAATCATTCACCGCGTATCTACGGCCATT